AGGGGGGGAGGGAGAGAGGGAGGGAGGGGGGAGGGAGGGCCGCAGGGACGGCAGTGGAGAGCAGACAGACGCTGCTCAGACACCAGAAGGCTTGAGGAGCCACATATTTTTAGCGTCGTCCCCGGGGGACAGAGATATGTGAGAGTGCCCGCGTGCATGGGCTGCAGGCACACACACACACACACACACACACACACACACACACACACTCACACACTAACACTCACACACAAATTAAAGTACAGGCGACATAAACGCACACCCTTTTTTCACATCTATTCTCAGTTTACACTCAGGTCTGCACTCGTTCACACATTCATTAATTCAGCTCCATCACCAACCGTTAACTAACTGTTAACCAACCAATAACTAACCGTTAACTAACTGTTAACTAACCGTTAACCAGCTTCAGTGTTGACCTGTAGGTCATGTTGATAAAGGGGACGTAGCCGACAGTTGAGAACCGTTACAGCGACTTTTCTTTTTTTTTTTACAGGTCAAAAAGTTCTAAGACAAATAGATGAAAATATATTTGTGAATATATGTCAGATGTATTTCTGCTCCGTGTCTCCGTCTGTGTGGTTTTTTTTTTTCCATCAGAGGATTTCGGAGGTTGACCTTTGACACCGGGTGTCAACCTGCTTCCTGGTTGGTCAAAAAGTCCTGAGACAGACGTGGAGATTTCACCCAGTTAAACTGATTTACAGCAAAATAAAAAAAATAAAAATAAAAATAAAAATAAAAATAAAAATAAAAATAAAAATAAAAATAAAAATAAAAATAAAAAAAACACAGCTTTGCTGGTCCAGTAGGTCAGAAAGAGGGCGAAGAGATTTTCAAGAACCAGCAGAACTAGCATCAATATATATATTGCGTCTTTTATCTGCAAAAATAAAAAATAAAAATAAAAAATAAAAAATAAAAAATAAAAAATAAAAAATAAAAAATAAAAAATGAAAAAATAAACCACTGAAATAAGGCGATAAATACTCAATACCAAAGTACCAGTACACACAGTGACCGTACTACTCTGAGATGTGTGTACTGTCCTTGTACTGCTCCACTACTCAAGGTTTCACAGGCAGGTGTGTGTGTGTGTGTGTGTGTGTGTGCAGCTCTCCTGGGGCCTGGAAACCTTTAGAGTTTTTGAAGCCTTGAGAGTCCAGGACCTGGAGTCGTCTTTAAGGTCCTCTTATTGTTTACTGTTGTTTACCCTCCTTTTCTCTGCTGGCCCTCACCTTCCCTCACCCTCCCTAACCCTCCCTCACCCTCCCTCACCCACTCTCTCCCCGTGGCTTTAACACCTTTCT